TGTATCGATTCTTATCGTAAATTCAGTATGCACTCACTCGTCACTCATTTCCTAGTTATCAGATTTCGTTATTACGGCCAGTTGCTGAACTGAAATGATCCATGCCAACGGTTCTTATCAAATCATATAACTATTATTTCATCAATGTCCTTTCAATATCAATTTCTATTCCATTCAATATGATCGACTATTGAATGGCATGATAAAATAATAATAATAATGATACGAGGCGATCGTATCAGTTCAATGCTCTGAATAATTGCATCCGATTGTGGTCACATCTTATCAGTGTTGCATTGGTTATCCCTTGCATTCTTCCTCTGCCGATTGTTATCATTACTGTTATCATTACTACCAGCTTTGTTCAGTGCCTTCTTAAGACTGGTACGTGTCTCTTTCATATTCGGTGCTATCGTGCGCCACGGTTTTATTTGGTATTTTAGGTGGTCTGTTGTGTGCCCGAACGGTATTTTGGTATTTACTTTGTAATTGTCAAGCTTTACCATCGAACCCATCGATTATTAAGTGAAGTGTGAATTGATTAAGTGATCATACTAATCGCTGTTGAATATATCGAATATGGTGAACCATCATCATCATATGCCAACACTTGTACACAACCTTGCGTTAATCAAGGAAACTTCATTGTTTAGGTATGGTGGAAGTTGATTTTGATTCGATTTCTTTTTGTTGTCATCATTCGACTTTGTTCTATTGTAATTTTGGTGAAATTTCCGAATTTCTTTTGTAACTTTTGAATTTGCTTAGAAAGTTTTCGTGTTTCATCCTTTGTTTGGGGGAGAGTTTGTGGGAAATCTGATTCTTTCACCAGTGAACGAGCAATCAGCCAGACTTCTTTGCATTGTGAATTTATGCGATGCGATCGCTATCTGCACAATGAACCTTCAGTCTCCTCATTCATCAATCGTGTGGTTTTTTTCAATGAGATCAATCTCCAACGTCTTCTAGTTGGTATTGTTCAATGATGTTTCCATCTTCTTATCAGTACTCATTCATCTCTAAACTTATTCATTTTCTCGTCAATTTTTTATTTTTTTCATCACCTTTTTCTCGTTGCATTCGCTCCTTTTACTAATTATCATCTTTCATCTCTGCTCTTTATTCGTTACTCTCTTAACTTCTTCTTTTGCACCTTTTGTGCTTTTGATTTTTCATATCCATGTTTCTGCTGAAATAATTCATTTGAATTTTGAACTTTTATTCAAATTTCTTTCTGGATTTAGAGTGCAAAATTGAATAAATAAATAATTTGATTGATCTGAAAGAATTTGTTTTTGACCTGAAACATCTTAAAAGCCGTCTGAAGAAGACACAAAAGCGATATCAGAAATCTGACCGAAGAATTCTATTCGTTTCGTGGTATGAGTCTTTTGGTAGAACATGAAGTGAATGTGTTTGAAGACTATAACCCAGATTGACAGTTCACCTGAGCAGAGCAGGCGATTTGAGACGATAAGTTGAAGAAGTGTACAGTAGTGCAGACTGATGAAATTTCGAAACTTCTTTTGAACTGAATTGCATTTTTGTTTCGATAAACAGTATGAAATTGATTATTCGGTTGGGAATGAATAAAATCAAGCAGTTGTTTATTTAGCAGCATTTCAGTGGTGTAGAAGGGAAACGAGACAAAGAAATAAATGGGGATAATAGTGTATATGCATGATTTTTAGTCATCGTGTTGTTTTTGCATGATATGATCCGTTTGTACAGTTCATTTCTTGGTTATTACGTTCTGAGTGGTTATGAAGGCATATTGAAGAAGTGGAATTATCATGAGAATGTGCTAGATGATATCTTAACGAGTGTGGTGATAAGAATGATGATTGTTATAGTCGTTAGGAATATACGATTTTTGATACGAATTTTATGCAAAATGGATGTAAATTCTGTTTTCTAGATGAATATTTTGAAAAGAATATTGAGCCATTCACTTCATATTGAATACTAACTAAAAGCGGTCGGGAAGATTCAACTTCCTTGAGTGGTCAGAATTTATTAGTTTGAATACGGGAGAATAATAGCAGATTTTGGGAATATTTCAAAACTTTGTTGATGAATTCGAGGATTTATCGTGGTTTTGAGTGATCTGCATTATCCGTTATGAGATCTCTTAGTATAAATATTATATCAGTGAGGAAACTGATTGAATTANAATAGTTGCAGTTAGTGAGAGTAATACAGAGTAGTGATAAAGTAATACTACTACTAATAATAATAGCAATAATAATAATAATGAATTAATTGAAGGGCGAGTTGTAGTGGAGGTGACATGACGAATATCAATCGAAAACTGCTCAGAAATAGTATGAGTACGAACGAATCGAGTAGTTCCTCGTTGGGTGTCATGCAACCACAAACGTCACAAATCTCTCCTCGAATCGTCAAAAATCCAAAGAAAGTGACAAAATTCTATCGAAAACAATCCGATTTAATGGAGAACTTCAAACGAGACAGCTCCATCATTGAGGTATTCAATTCGAATGTTTAACTTTTTATTCATCTAAAATTTGCTACTTGCAAATTCTGAGCAGTTTCTGATGAATTTTTGCATTCAGGTATTGTGTTCTGGCCGAATGCGGAAATTTTCAGTGAGGAATAATAAATAATTTGAAGGAAAGCCAACGTCGACGGCAAAAAGCTCGCTCGATATCTCGATCGCCGCCATTGGACGATAAGGATTTGGAATCAGGAAAACTGTTATCGAACGGGGACACGGTGATTGACACTGATGAGGAGAATAAAGATGAACTGAATATGCTACAAGTACAACCCCCGGCACATTCATCTTGCTTTAAACGCCAGAGCAGGTTTGTTATTGCTATTAGTTTGTTTATTATTTTGTCATTGCATTAGTGAAATGCTTTCAGTATACTTTCGTTGAAACGTCCAGCCGAAATGGACAAAGCAGCGCGATGCCTGGCAATGGCCACTCTAATGGTCAACATATCGCTTGTCATTTCCAAGGTTCATTTGCCGCATTCTCAGTGCTGATCCTTCGTATTGTGAGATGATGATGGACTCCTTTGGACATTCATTTTTGTTTGATTTCGATGAAGTTTTGCTGGTTTTGTGGGAAAGTTTCTAAAATTTGCGCG